CCCGGCCTGTAGCGCTGCAAGCAAACCAAGGGACAGCAGACATACCTGTACCGGAGCATCTTGCTTGTCAGGTTCGAGACGCCATCCAGCTCCACACGTTACCCACTAGCACGAAGGAACGACCAAGATTGATGGAAAGAGACTGACTGGCTGGTTTCGGATGCACTATTCAAGCAACCTAAGGCAAAGCACGCCGAAACGGACCTCAAAAGAGATCGTCCCATGGTTAACTAACACTCGAGTCGAAAGACTGTTTTGCACTCAACAGCACACGAAACGGCTCCTCCGCAAGATTCGCCTACCAGTCGATCTAGAACTCCAGGTGGTATCTCTTCTCGTCTAGCCCTGACCGCGGACGCATGTGACCCAAAGATCTGTGATCTTCTGTGAATTTCGCAAGATTTCAGATCTTCAATCAATCATTCATTCAGGGCAACAAAACTTGGCGAGGGCAATCATACGGACACTTGATCAAGTACACAAGTGAAGAGGTTCATCAAGTACACAATGTGAAGAGGTTTACTCTTTTTTACCCTACTGGCGCAGACGAAGTTAGTTCACTGATTTCCGGAACATGGGAGAAGATGCCAATCATTGCATTGGCATGAAAAGTGGTTGATCTGGAAGGTGCTTTGTATAAAGTATATCCTATGTTTCGATGAACTGTATTGAAAGAAGCCCTGCCCCATAAGCGATGGCGCCTCCAAAGCCGGCAACGCACAAGTTTTCGAGTGCCGCAGTCAAGCAGTTACCCTTGGTGGCCCAAGTCTTTACAGCACCAACCACCAAAAGCGCGATACACGTCGAAACTCCTGCAGCAATGAAACCAACAGTCGGGTCAACGTCCGGTATCATGAAAGGCATCACAGAAGGAAAGGCGCCTGCTAAGAACAGAAAGAACGAGACCAACCCTGCCATAGCTGAGGGATGCAGCAAAAGCGATGCGTGAGCTGCATATTGCATCATGATGCCGTTGTGAGGGGTGACACGCAAGCTACTCACCCGGAGAACGCTCTTCTTCTTCGAGGAAACCGAGTTCCAACGCAATCATGATCTTCAGGAGAGCCTTTGAGTCTCGGGCATAGTGGCGGATCAGCCTCTTCTGCAATGCCCTGTCGTCAATGCCAATGAGCTCGAGCAGGTCAGAAACCTCTTTCAACTCATCTTTTTGGTAGTCGCGAACATGCCTCGTTTCCGTCGCAATCTCCCCAGCGATCACTTCATTCTGGGACTTGGTCGCAACATACTCTCCCGCACACATGCTAACGGCCCCAGCAACAGACCCAGCAACGCAGTCAAGAGAATTTCAGAGGAGGACATCCCTCCACCGCGCACGCCTGCGACTAAAAGGAAGGTCGACACAAGACCATCGTTGACTCCCAAGATGATATCTCGCCAGTATTGGCGCCCTTCACCTTGGTGGTCTTTGACGGCGTGGCAGTTGAGTTGACTTCATCATCAATAGAGTACAACTGCCTTGGACGACAAATCATCGCTGTGACGATCATCATCGTCGTCTCTCCGCTTCTCGCTCTGGCCGTGAAACAACATGAACTGAGGGTGGACATGGTGTGGTTGGCAGTACTTGGTCAATTCCTCGGGTGGGTCGGGTGCCCCCCTCGCACACCTGCTGGTCCCACTCAGACTCGAACGGTTCTGGACACCCGGGGAGGAGGGCTATGTGCGAGTATCGCATCTCTTCTTGCAATATGGGCTTGAACGCTGCCTGCCTACTATCACAGGTTCCATAGCGAGCAGACACCTGACTCGTTTCGTCGATATCGATGCCGACAAGCCTGCCACTTGTTCGACGCATGACAATTTCCATGTGACGAGCGTGCTGGAACTTTCTTCCTTAAGAGAGCTCCACATCTCGTAATCACTGAGGAGCTTGTGGATGAGTCCCTAGCTTCAGGGCAATGGAAGACTTGTCCCCCTGGCAGGTGTATCCTCCTGATTGCTTTTCCTCTTCGCTGCTGCTATTGCTGTTGACCTGCACCAACTGAGGACCGCCAACTTCAATCCCTATGGGTCATCTTTCCCCTGTCCACCTTCAGAAGGGTTTCAATGTGGCTCCTCTTGGAATGTTTGACAGTTCCAGGCTTGCATTGGAATCTACTTCCAAGTCCACACCCTGCGATGCATCTTGTAGCTCTTGTGAGTTTAGGAGTTGCCGATCACGGGAAGCCAGCTCGTCTGCACTTGGGATAGGTTGTGCATTCGCTCCGAGACATCACCCTGTCTCGAGGAATTGCTTCTGATGCTACCGGGGCTGCTAGCAACAGCGCTGTTCTGGTTTGTTCTCTGCGCGAAGGATGTCGCTGACGATGACAGTCTTCTCACATAGGGCCCATCTTCGAAATTGGATTCAGTGCCGAACAAGCGGTCGTCGCTCGTGCTGCTCGATCCTGTGGAAGTAGGATCATCGCTGCTATTGGTACTGGTCTTTCTCGGGTAGTCGGACCTGGCTGGTAGCGGCCTGATAGCCTGCTGTTCTCTGGGGGGACTCTTGCTGGGCTGTTCTACGTCGGAGTAGCCATTGCTAGAAGGGTTCTGCGATCGCGTACCAAACTGATACTGAGTTCCTGTTCACCGTTGCATTGGTACCGGTACCAACATCCAGATATTCCTCAGCGTAAAGAGGCGCGAAAGATCCAGTGGAAAACATCTTTATCAGAGCAAACTACAGCCGAGCTCCACAACGAGCTGAAGTCAATCAGCACTGTGTCGCTATCTGGCTTTCCCCACAGGAAAGGCAAATGAGACTGTTTTCTTTCCACTCGTCCAACTTAGTCAAATGTTCTTTGATATCAAATCGTCGAGAACCGAAAGTGATGTGACAAAGATGACATCTTTCTTGAGCTGAATCACTGTGTGACAAAGCTTTGGACACAGGTAGATGCGGTAAACAATTAAATATACAGAAATATTCAAAGGAGACCTCCTGTACATGTACTCCATTGATCATCTCATATTTACCTCAACTTCTATTCCTAAGCTGTTTTCCTTCGTCTCGGCTCTCGGCTTCATTTGGGGTGAAAAAAAGAAGATTTCTCTGCAAAATAATTTGACGCCTCTGCGCGCGACTTAGAGGTTTTGGCCAATACTCAGACTGGAAGCAACTTGGATTTATGCTTGCTGAGCGACGTCCTGAAAGATATAGCAACACAGAAATTCCACCCATGCTGTTCTTCTTGGTGGCATGCGCTTCTGTCAACTCCACAGTCGTGGGCACGATCACGACCTATGGCTCTACCTACACGTAGCAGGACGTCTAGTTGATCAATAGATTTCGTCCCGCTGAGATAATTCAAAACCTGCATCAACGGTAGCTCTAGCTCTAGCATAGTGCTCCAGCCAGGCAGGAATGTCACTTGGCAGTCAAATGTACCTGGACAGACCGGAGCCTCTCTTTCGTTTCTCCAAGCCGAATCTCCAAGCCGAGTAGCCAGGAGCATTCTTTCCCTTTCTCCTCACTGAAATCATTGAAGCTCTTTGGGGGCTACTCCCGCTTCTTTCTCTGCCTTGGCTTTGGCGGGGCAGAACTGAACCTTGATTTCACCCAAGGGACATGGTTCCTTTTCATGTGCCAAAGGCACAAGATGAGCCGGTCGTCTATCTTCATCCGTCATTTGATACGAGTGATGAACGGCGTTGGAAGGTGGTGTCATGACATACCACCCTCGTGGCAGCTGGGTTGCTTCGTCCACGGGTTGCATGGACTCGTACAGCTCCTTGACGGATACCCAATAAGGGGGGTACTTGAATCTTGCCACATCCAAAATAAGAACGTGGTCCGAGGGTTCGTGAAAGGCTGCAATGGGAGAAAAATGTCCGTCACCAGTTTGTTGTAGGGCCGCACGAGAATACGATGTAACAATCATGGAATTTTCCCGGTTGAATTGACTGTCCAGTGTTTCCTTCAAGTCCTTTCGAAATTCTTGCAATGAATAAGAAGAAGTGTCCATGCTGTCGGAATAATGATTATTGTCGTTTTCTGCTGGCGGGGGCGGTCTCTTCATGGTGATTCTCGTTCCGTGGCAGGTTCCTAAAATCATGAATTGTTCCATGGTGATTCCCACTCGTCGAATGCGTTCCTTGTTCAAGCAGCAGCGTTGTAGCAATACATCTTCGTCTCCATAAAATCTCCAGCCACCCTTCCATCGAACACCGGGGTCAATGTTCATGGCATTTAATACCATGAGCAGAGTGGTGACCCCGCAATAGGCCGGATCACTCTGGTTCACGAATTGTTCCGTGAGTGCCCAATACGATTCTGCAGTGAGAGCCGCCATGCTTTCCAAGAGAAATTGTCGGCCCAATGGTGATGACAGTGCCGTAAGGTTGGAGGGCAAGACTCTCTTGTGAACCGAATAAACTGGTTGAGGAAGTGGTGGTGGTAGAGGCTCTGCATTTTCTTTCAAGAGATCTTGTTCCTTTTGATATCCACAGGTACATTCTTGAATTTTGGGGCTGATGGCATTGTTGTTATTATTAACTACCATGTTTGCTTCTTCTGGTTGCTTCCGCGTGGGATGGGGGTGTGCGTCGGTAGTGCTAAAAACCGGATGAACATTTCGAGTTGGCGTTTTGTGGCGACGAGACCGATAAAAATAATTGCCGGAAGAGGCCGCGGCACTTCTGGTAACAGTAGGATATTCTTCGTCCTCGTCGTCGGTATCGATGCGATCAGGCAACGCTGACGAAAACGTGCGAGCAGGGGGCCAAGGAACGGTGACAATAGTGGTGGTAGTAGTTGATGGCTGAAGGCGACTCAAGCGCAAAGCGATTGCCCTGTAAGACGACGACTTCATGGTGCGGTGGGGGTTGATAAAGTTTATTAGTGCCAGCGAGAGAGTGGTTTGAGAGGCTGATTGAGGGCTGTTCCATTGAAACTATGAGAATGCGACGGATTTCTTCCTTCGCTGGTCTTGTTGTTCCATTGAATGGATGCCGATGGTTGCTGCGTGTCGGGAAGTGACGAATGACATGCGAACCGGAGTGTTCTCAAAGAAAGGAATGCGAAGCCGTGGCTGAAGTGTGCCTACCAAAAGGCTCGGGTTCATTCTATGCGGCAAACCTACAGTGTACAGTACAGTCGTACTGTAGCTATTACTATGGTACGGAACGATGTAGACTACTAGCTAGTAGGAAACCACTCAAGAGCTTCGTCATCTATCTACTAGTATTGGACGATGCAGGTCTTAACTTGGGCCTATCAGACCCAGCACTGGCCCAGCACAGGCTGGCCAGCAGCCCGATGCTGGCCACTACCGGTACCCGGTACTGTTTAGACAGCTAAACCAACACTGGCCAGCTGCCCTCCTTCCAACAAACACAAGGAGCAATTTGGCAACACTCAAAGCACAAGCACTGAACCAAAACATTGATGAACTAACCTGTGGTTTGAATCTCACCACTCTCCTTGTTGCACACCTCGATCAGCCAGCTTCAGAATCGGTACAACTCCAAGTCCACAGCCACCCGGACGACCTGCTTCTTGCTACCCTATTTTGGCCCTGCCACTCATAGGTGACAGACAGCCACGCATTGCGGTGAGAGACCTATATAGCCAATAATCAGAATCTAGAACCAGCCAGCCTAACCTGGACACCTGGACACACGCCAAGCATAACTCCGTGGCTTATCAGCACAGACCCAACTGTGGGGCGTTGGCACCTCCGCTTGCTTGATCTATTCTCCAGGCCTACCGGTACGAACCGTACCAACTATTCCTACCTAGAGGTTAACTCCAGGAGATCTGTCGCTGATAACATACAAGATCTGAGTAAAGCATTAGCTTAGTAGGCACTGTCTCACAAGACCCTTGGACTTTCCTTGCTTCTTGAGAAAGACGGTAATGAGACCTATGGTAGGTCCTCAACCTACCCCAAGCTGCAACAGTGCAGAATGCCAGTAGCTCGTGTTGATGGGAGAGGTTGCTCTAGGTACCATGCGAGTGGTGCTGCCCGTCGCCCAAATGGTCTCTAAAAATTCGGGTCTGTTTAAAGATTTGGCGTCCAACGGTTGCGCCGGAGTGGCCAAAGTGCCGATAGCTGTGCCAGGGGGGTGCGAAATAGCCAACGGCAATTTACTATCGTCCAGAGTGATTGCCTCACAAATCTCAAGTCACAGACGTTCTCCACCTCAACATAACCAACGGTACCCTATCGGACACTAGCTATCTACTAGCCAGTAATACCCAACAGCTACCACCTCTTGCTAGCAGTAGTGTTCAGCTGCTCGTCCATCACCCATCACCCCATCACTATCTGGAACCGTCCAAGGAGATTGTAGCGTAGAGAATGGCAATGATCCATGAGGAGAAAAAGATTGGTGACGAAGAGAAAGAGCAACACCTAGACAGCCATGCGCATCACACTGGGATATTACGGGGTGTGTTGGAAAGGGCCGTCGCCAATCGTTTTTCTTCCAAGCCCATTGATGTCGAGAAGAACCAATTGACGCAAGATGCACAGGAGCAACAAAAGCGCATCTTGGATACACGGCAAAGCATCTTGGCAGAAGACCAACAACAGCTTCAAGAGTTAACCATCTTGGAAGCCGTCGAAGAGGATAACAGAGTCAGCAATAGCATCCGTGATGTGGCCTCGGATGAAAGCAATCGGAATCAGGATCAACATCGACACCATTGCCCAACACTGACGCCTTCAGAGCAAAAGTATTTGGAGGGACTGCTGGAATCAGAAGATCCAGAGTCCATCAGACGGGCAACACTGATCCTGTCAGATTTGAGCTTGTTTCCCAGAGAGGAATCTTTGGAAGATTCCCAAGAGTTGAAAACGACAATGTCCAGAAGAGACTCCAAAGTTCAGCGCCTCTTTTTCCGAATGCACGAGATGGGACGAACACCCACTTCGGCACGTGGAGCCGCGGGACATTTCACATCATCACCTATACGTGGAGGTAGCACTGTCAATACCAAGAGACGGATGTGCTGGAATGAGCGCAGAGAGAGCTCTATTGTCGTGCTGGAATCACAAACTTCCATGTCTTCCTTGTTAGATGATACCAGGAGAAATTCCCTGATAGCCAGTGGGTCTTATCAACCCTCTGCTGGTATGATCCGAGACGACACGGAAAATGATGACATTCTTGCTACTGACGATGACTACCCTCAGGTAACGGCTGACAGATCTGGTAGCAGCACCACTTCGCAAGATATATCCTCCTGGCTGGATGGAGCTGGGGCCGCCAATGGAGGAGGCAAAGAAGGACCAGCGGTAGAAGTACACAATGTCAATGGAATCATGGGATCTGACAAGATTGTGAATACAGCCGAGTCTCTATTCAAGACATCCTTTGCTATCTTGGGAACGGCTGCGGATGATGTATCTTGCATTCCACACGTCTTGTCTCCTCCTCTGAGTACGTTATGGTTGGCGCTGAAGAGACTGAAGCCGCAGATTTGCCTTTTGTGCCTGACTTTCAAAGTTCCATTTCTCTTGTTCTTGCAGTGGAGAGTCTCCTCGAATTCGTCCCTGAAACTCTCAGTGATTACCACTTTTGGATCAAATACAGTCTGGTGCGTGATGGGGCCAACCTCTACACACTTCTCAGGCATGTCCGTGCGTCCACGAGATCCATCTTGGCGATTGAAACAACGGATGGGCAAGTCTTTGGTGCATTCACGTCGAAACCGTGGAGGCTTCTTGAGAGTAAAGAATTGCCCCGAACTGGCGAAGATGAGGTTGCAAACGAAGCAGCTCCGAAAGGGGAAGACTCGTTTTTCGGCTCGCAGGATACGTTTCTGTGGAAGATGCGACAGTCACGCTTTGAATCGCAAGCATTGGTGAGGTCCGCAACAGTGGAACAGGCAATCTTGATGGAAAGCGAGTTGGCAGTCTATCCATTCACAGGCGCCAACAACTTTGTGCAACATTGCACCCCGTCTGATGGAATTGGTCTTGGGGACAATGCATCGGCCATTCGGCTCGATCCCTCGCTCAGGACGGGTTCCACTGCAGCATCGGAGACTTTTGGCAATCCATGCCTGTTAGATCCCAAAGAGGAAACATCAAGATCTTTCGAGGTTGCCAATTTGGAAGTCTGGACGCTCACACCACATGATACGGTCAAAGAGGCGGAACAAACCGAGCTGAAGGCGTTCTTTCAGCAACGTCAACGAGAAGAGCACAGGAACCGTCTTGATCTTTTTGGTATTCTGGTGGGAGGACCCAAAATGAAGTAGTCTCTTTGCCCAAATCGATGCCAATTGGTAGCCCAAAAGTATTCTAGTGGCATCCTTTTTGTGTTTTTAACGTTCACAAATCATCTCAATACAGTACGTGAGGCTACCGGTACAGTGGCCTCATGGATTGTCAACGATCGTAGTGGGACGGGATGGGTGCAGTACAACGCAAACATGCATGGAAGCTCAAATCCCACTCTTTTGGTAGCACATCAGTATTCTAGTAGTATCGTTTATCTTGTGTAAGTAAAGTTCACGGATTCACCTCAACATACAAACACGAACAAGCCTACGGCGGGCACGCAAACGCAGACCGCAGCTGTTGTTCTTCAGTCCTTCGAAGTTCAGTGGGAATGGGCTTCGTCAACAACCCCCCAACGAGCAGGGCAAGATGCTTTTGTCTCACAAATGGAGCACGCAGAAAATCGCGGCAACGCCAAGAGCAAACAACGTCTTGAGCATGCCAGACGAGGAATCTGTGGCAATGTCGATGTCCGCAAAGCCCCCCCGATCAGGACGGATGATATCAAAGAACTCAGCTTCGAGGGCGCTATCGCTCTCTCCAAAATCAAATCCATACATGGTCGCAACCACCGCATCCGTGGAAGGAATGACATCAAAGATCACATCCGCCTTCCTGGCAATGACATGATAATCAAGATCTTCCCGCCACTCAATGATCGTCTGGTTGAATCCACCAGGAAGTGTGTCGATCTTTCTATCCTGAATGAATGCATGCACATAGATGAGAGGAATTATCAATCCTCCGTCCGATCGAGACTTCTCGGCAAACGCAGTGCCTCCAACATCACTCGTGAAGAGAATAAGGTTGTTGTCAACCTCTCCAGTTGTTTGATCAACTGAGAAGGTTAGAAAACCGTATCGAGCTCCTTGTTCCACCCAGAACTCAAAGTCAAAGAACAAAAAGTCCAGGAATTGCATCGCGGATGCAGCTTCCCTCTGGCTTTCAGGGAAGTACATCACGGGGACTATAAACAATGAACCGCAGGGGATCCTTGAGAAGTCTGTCGTCACGCGGAACAGAACCTTCACAACACATGTCACACCGCACTTACCAGCTTTGGATCCATCTCCCTGATCCTGCACATATATGGCTTCGAACTTGGATTGCCCGGTTATGTTGAGGAAATAGAAGTCTCGGTTCCACTCCGCTTCAAAAGTGTTACCTTGGTAGGATCCTCTAACATCCCCACCCTTCAGATACAAGTATTCGATGTCACTTGGTATGTAGCCACGGTCCTCCAGGAACGGCTTCAAAGGAGAGCTCAAGTCGACAGCATATTCCACAACCACTTGGTCAACTCGCGGTGCCATGTGAGCCGTCAGTGTAACTTTCGTGCTTTCAATGTTCGCTTCAGGTCTAGAAAGCAGCTCGCTGGGATTGACAGGCTGTCCTGCTGGCTGGGCTGCCACTTGGCACACGGAATCCCCCGCCGAGGAACCTGGCGTTGCTGCGCTTAGGAAGTATTCCAGGAACGCTTGAAAGTTCGGCGCACTGTTTGTGGCATAGTGTCGGTTCGTGAACAGAATGGTATCCCATAGTGCCCTGTTCCTTTGGTACTCTCCCTGTGGGGGCCAGGTCACGTGCATGCCGGTTCCAGCAGCTGTGCCAGGGCCAACTCCGTGAGCAACCATCATGTCGCTGTAGGCAGTTCTTAATGCAGTAAGGGCGCTCCCCAGGTCAGATGATTCAGAAGGGTTGCACATTTGAGCAAACGCATTCAGAAAGCTCCCGATGTCCATGGCAGATGGCTGGTGCGTGCCAACAGTATCAACAATCCCTTCGAAGGCAACCGTGCTAGCTCGAGCTCTGGAAACAAACGCGTGCAGCGTCTACAGAGAAAGGTCAATGCGTACTGTCAGATGCAACTACAGGAAACTTGCTGGTGATACATGTACTGGGAATCGAGTGAACATACCTGGTCTGTTTGAATTCGTTCCAATAGCACAGCAGCAAAGCCTTCCAATTGAGCCACAAATGTTGAGTAGGCCTCAAATGAAATAAGTGAGAGTACTTTCGGAGATTGATGGCCTCCACCCTGCGTCTGACTGAGATAGGTGCTGACCACTTGTCCAGCAAGCGAAACAGAATCAGAAGCACTCGTCCAGTAGGCATACGCCCAACCTGTGACGATGGTGCGCATAGAGTTGAAATCGAAGATGCCTTAGCAAGCGAACGACGGCGCATTGACAATTTATGCTATCGCATTCTTACCGTGGCCAGGTTCAACTGCTTCGCTGGCCAGCATGTACTGGGCCACATCCATGTAATCATCTGCCGCACCCAAGGCTTGCATCAGGCTGTGAACGTGTACAACAGCAGAGAAGTTGGTCAAGGAGTTCCCACTTCTGCAGCATTTTATGGGACTGTGTGAGTTGCACTTACCAAGCATCAAAGCCAATGACATCAAGCTTATCAGGTGCACCACTGACGCTGCTCAACGCCCCACGAATAGCAGACGCCACTTGACGATTGGGTTGTAGAAGAGATCGGTGACGAGCCCTTACGTTTTCATCCCCACCATAGCCAGCAAACCCACCTCCATGGGAAGAGAACACAGCCATGAGACTATCGTAGCCATTGGCCAAGCAGTCTGTCATGGCGTGGGTCAAAAAGTTCAACACTGCAGCCTCAGTATCTGAGTTTTGTTCGCCAGAGAGAGTGGTGTCCAGACGCATTCTGCCCAGCGAATGGTCGTACGTAACGTAGCTACTTCCAGAGTTTCCTGGGATGGATCGTCCCACAGAGTCTACAGTACTGGGCAATGGCTGGCCTCCATATGCGTCGTGATATACCCAAGTCTTGGCGTCCGTGCTCCGAACAAATGCTGAACTGGACAGCTCCTGGTAGTCCTGACGGATGTAATATTCAAGGTTATTATCAGCCATTTGATACAGCATGAAGCACAGTTTTGCTCGAGCGCCTTGGAGCAACGCCATCGAGAGGGTCGAAAACAGAACATGCTTCCTCATCATTCTCGACGTCGTGTAACCTGTGTTGATTTCGGAACTACCTGCAGCTTGTGGAGAATATGACCAAGCCTGTTATTATCGACTGCTGATCCGAGTCCAGTCTCTGGTAGTCTCTGGTTTGTTTGGTCTTGGTTTTCTGTCTTCTGTCGGGGTTCTCGAAGGCATTGTCCCGGTGCATGGTCATCAATGTGCACCGCCACAGCAAAGTCAACCATTGTTCTGGTTGTTTTGGTGCAACGGCACCCTTCGCGAAAAGGCATCTATCGCAGAAAATGGGACCACTAAATCTTACAGTCATACCCCAATGTCTCTCAGTCCCAGAACGGCAGGGGAGCATCCTTTGGTCACGCTGATTCCTTGCCGCCAGGATATCAGTGAACGCCCTCAACGGATAGACAAAATTAGAATAAGTGAAAACCCACAATTGACGAGGAGTCTATGTTCTACAATCCAATAATATGTACAGTACTCAAGTATGGCCATAATCAGCATTCCGTCTAGACGTCTACGTGGACGTCGCGTGGAGGAGCTAGGAATTCTTTCAGTATTCTATTTTTCAACTATGTATGGTATTTTGCTTACCCTATCTTATACCTTATGTACATGCATTTTCCTTGAACAATCAACCTGCTGCTAGCAGCACCTCTGCTGCATGAGATCGACAGCTATCAGGACTACCAGAGTGCCGTGAAGAGCAAGACAAACATAAAAGCCAGCCCATTTGAAAGGCGAGATGCACTTGAGAACTCCGTAAATACCGGTTCTGGAGCGTCTGCGCCATCGTCAACACCTTCCACTGTGAATCCACTGCTGGCCTTGCTGGGACGAATCACATCATAGTAGCGGACATCCGGAGGCCTCTGGTGGTCACCAAGGTCGAAAGCATACATGTTTATGACAACAGCATCAGTGCTTGGAATCACATCAAAGATGCGTTCGGCAGGGGTGGTGAGCACATTGTAATCAATGGTCTCCTTCCATTCGATCACAGTCTGGTTGAAACCTCCAGGCAGCGTGTCCAGTGTTCGTCCTTGGATGTAAGCATCAATGTAAATTAGTGGGATCAACAAGCCACCGGCACTCCTTGGTTGTTCCGAGAAAGATCCAGCATCATTGGCGATGTACAGTGCGAGGTTGTTATTGATCCTTCCAACTGCTTCATCGACAGAGAACTTGAGGAAGCTGAATCGAGCACCTTGTTCTACCCAGTAGTCAAATTCGAAAAACAAGAAGTCCAGGAACTGAAGATTGGCAACCTCTTTCCTTTTCGCCTCGGGGAAGTACATTGTGGGAACCTTTTTGGAGCCATCGCCCTGATCAAACACATACAGGGCCTCATAGGCATCTGATCCAGAAATGTTGAGGAAGTAAAAATTCTGATCCCAGCTCGCATCAAATGAGGAGCCAGCATAGTTTCCATAAACATCTCCGCCCAAAAGATACAAGTACTCATCATCTTCTGGCTCGTAGCCCTTTTCCCTCAAGACAGGCTTCAAGGGTGTTGACAGATCAATGCCGTATTCCACAAGCACTTGAGAAACCTTTGAAGAAATCTGTGCTTCTACGTTGAAGTTGCCTGCACTATCCTCGGAAGTAGACTCAGAAATGAGAAGAGCATTGCCGTTGCCGTTCTGGTTGCCGTTCTGGTTCCCGTTGCCACCGCCGTTCTGGTTCCCGTTGGCGTTTCCCGGGGCGGTTGCGCTCTCCTGGCAGACCGAGTTCGCTCCGTTTCCGTTTGGTGAACCCGACGGCAAAAACCACTCCAAGAAAGCGCGGAATTGGGGAGTGATTTCAGTTACGTAGTTCTCATTGTTGAAGAGTCTACAATCAGGCCAGGACCAACGCTTTGTTAGATTTGAATTGTGTGATAGAGTCGAGATGTCGATCATTCAATTGCACTTACACCTGGTCCCAGAGACCTTGGTTGTTTACGTATTCTGCCTGGTTTGGCCAAGTGATGTGCATGCCTGAGTCCAAGATAGATAGAACAGAGGTGGTCAGTGTAGTGTTGGCCACCACAGTAGCAACGCCACAAATGTCCCCGGTTACGTACCTGTTCCCTGTTGAGTTCCTTGTCCAATGCCCACTTCGACAAACATACCGTCATAGTTCGCAATTGCGGTGTCCAGGTCGCCACCAAGGACACTGTTGGGATTGCACATAGCCTTGAAACCTTCCAAGAAGCTTCCGATGTCAAGCCCAGATGGGTGCAAGGTTCCAACAACGTCTACAATGCCTTCAAATGCAACTGCTGAAGCCCGAGCTCGTGACACAAATGCGTGGAGAGAAGAGTCTCCCGTTTTTAACTCGCTCAGAAGATCTTTGCTAAAGTTCTCAAAGGCAGCCAGGAAATTAAGGAATTTGTCAGTGTTGACAATTGCCATAGTCTTGGGACTCTGATGGCTCGACCCTCCTTGAGTTTCCGCAATGAATGTCCTCAGAATCTGGACGGCAAGATCGAGGGCATCGGTGGCCGAATTCAAAAAGGAGTAGGCCCAGCCTAGTAGAAGGAAGGAGAAACCAAAATGTCAGATCAAAGTTGACAAAAGCAACCAATTTTCAGATTCGATTCGATTCGTTACTGCCTTACCATGTCCAGGTTCCACGGCCTCACTCGCCAGGATATGAGAAGCAACAGCCTTGTAGTCGTCAGCGGCTCCAACAGCTTGCATAAGGCTTTGGATGGGACACAGAAACTGAGGTCAGAGTACGTACAAGTGCGACCTTCTAGGGAGCACTACAGACAAGACAAAATTCTTACCACGCATCAAACCCCACAACATCCAGCTTTCCCGATATCCCATTGGCATCGAGAGCGCCACGGATGGCATTGACGAGGCCTTGATTAGTTTGTAAGAGCTTTCGACGAGTATTCTCGTCTCCACCATAGCCAGCGAATCCGCCTCCGTGAGATGAGAAGATGGCCATGAGACTGTCGTATCCGTTCGCGAGACAATCCTGAAGAGCATGGGTCAAAAACGCTTGAATCACAGCTTGAGTATCACTGTTCTGTTCCCCCTGGAGTGTCCGGTCCACCTTCATACCCCCAGCTCCGCCATTAAGACTAGCATCCCAAGTGAGGTAGCGGCTACCCGTAAACGTCTGAGTGAGGGGATTGCCGCCTTCATCCACAGTGTTAGGCAAAGGATCTCCTCCCTGGTTCAGCGCGTCGTAATATATCCAAGTCCGGAGATCACCCGATCGGATGACTCCAGAATTGGTCAATTCTTCGTAATCCTGGCGGAGGTAGTACTCGAGGTTATTATCAGCCATCTGATACAACATGAAACATGTTTTCGCTTCAGCAAGAGGGGCCAGGAGCCCCATGGCAAGGGCGCCAAAGAGGACGCTTCCTGGAAACTCAAAGCGCATCCTGGTAGTGTTATCGGTGAAAGTAATTTGACCGTTTTGTGTTGCAGTCTCGAATGGTTGTTGTGTTGGCTCTGGCATCAAGATCCCTGTACAACAGAGTAAGACCAGCAGGATTCTTTGTCGGTATTGGACTGGTTAACAATTCAATTCCGCTTCAGAAGATTTAAAGTACGATTGCATGCATTATGGTGGAAATGACTCAGTGGTTGAATGGGTCATTTCGGAATTATCACTTACTTATGCCTATCGTAGTGCAGTGTCCTGCGACGACGCTGCGACGGGGCGGGATGCTGGGACCACGATGCTTTTCAAGATCACCAACATGCGGAAGGTTCGTGCTACCTGGTGCCGCAAACAGACCGTAGAAAGCTGGCTAGATAGCAGTCTTCCCCTTCTTTCCACTCCACTCCAGCTCCCAGCTCCAGTATGTTAGTTACTCCAAAGTGGGCAAGCAGAAGAGCACATCACAGGCCACACCTGCATGTGCTTTTGGATTAAATTGCTTTTGTTCAAGTGGAGAAGAGAGAGTTTCTCGGTTTACTCCCATTCACCTGCTTTTGATGCTACTGCGAGACTGCGAGTAGCACGCTCAGCCTGGTTAGTTGATATAACTCTTATAGTAATTAACCAGCTTAGCTAACCAGCCAAGTCTTTCAACCGTAGACTGGTCTACAGCCAGAATCGTCGTGGCTGCATCACAGTGGTGGCACCGAAGCGGAGTCCACCAACAAGAAATTCAGATGACGTCCACAGTCTCCGCACCAGTCAGTGTAATATCCACCAGCCGTCGCATGTTCCAAGAATCCGTGTGTCGCTCGCCCCAACCTTGCTCGAAAACTACCGCTATTGGTCAACTTGTCATTGCTTCAGTAACAACTATTTATAGAACTACTGTACAGTAACTCGCTTCCATCGTTGTTTTCAGTGTAGTTTAACCCCCGCATTCAGGTTCGTGGACTTTTCTTGAAAGGAGTGTTTGGATACACCACCTGCTGAAGCAACCGTGCCCGTGTGCGGACCGTACGGTACAGGTATAAAGTCGGTTTTGGTCCATCGCTTTGAGACATCAGCGATACTATAGCAAAAACAGTACAATATCGGAAACCTTCTGTCTCACTCTCTATTTTCTGAGTTAACGGGACTCAATCATGGACCAAAATATTTAACTATCTCACAAAAAGTATAAAGAAAATGAAATACACGTTTAACATCGGGTATGTGACTTTAAATCATGTGGTCAGTATGGGTAACATGCTATCAGTCAATGGTACTTGAGGTCGATTTCGTATTTATCTACTTATGGATCAATCGGACATTGAGACAGTCATTTGCTTATAGACGGTTTTGGTCCATTTTTGGGCTGTAGGGCTGGTACACTTTCTACGTGTCTCACCCACTTCCTTTATTAAACTCGTATGTTCCATGTTCCGGACGGTATGCATGCGGTAGGGGTACGGTACTAGTAGCCCTGGCACTCCGTTAGGTCATTATGGTCGGTCATCTTGACCGGTACCGCTAACCTTGATGACTTCAAATCTCAGAATTCTTTCTGATGTTTCGTAACATCTTTCGTTTCCATGCTTCGATCATTGACTATCAAGCTTAGCTACCGGATAGGATTGGTACCATCTTGCGAAGTATCTTCTGTGGGCCAAGTTAGTTTATTGTATTCATCCAGTTGGTGGTTGTATTGGAACTGTTAATAATAAAGATGCCCCCATTTTCCAAGAAGAAGCGCCGCTCTCGCTATCACGCGTTGCTGCATGAAGAAGATAGTAGCAAGAAGTTGACCTACGTGAATATCACCATCACGGATGCTTCCGAGGGCGTCTACAAAATGGTTCACTCCAAGGTGAGTGAAACTCACAAGAACTTTATTGGAACCAAAAAGTTCAAAGAGAAGGTGGCACACACAGTTGCCAGAACGGCGTCCAACAGTGTCCCCAAGAAGGAAATTGTCAAAAAGCTGGCGGGCAAAGTCCCCAAGATGCTCATGTATCAAATGCACCACAAGATGGGTATGCGAATTGCCGCACAGAATGTCTATCGCGAGGATAATTACGCCGTCTTTCAAATTCAAGTACAATACGTGGATTCCAAACGAATGCTTGCTACCGCCAAGGAAGAAATGAGAAGTTCCCAAAGCGAAAATGCTACCAAGAGTGAAGAGGAAGAAATGGATGATGATGACAGCGTTGCCACGGCTGTATTGGACGAATGGATTGCCGAACAAAAGAACTTGGTGCAGGAAGAGCAGGAATCAGCCTTTGTCACGGAAGCTCTGAACGAAGAAGAAGAGAACCAATTGAACTGGTATAACTGGAGAGAGCTATTCGTCCTCTTCTTGACTTGGCTCTTGCACAAACTCATGCCTGTCACCATTACCCGTAACCTGGAGGAAAATCGACTACCCGCCTTGATTCAATCACAAATTAGTTCAAAATTGAAGGAAATGTTGGACAAAAAGTTGAAGAGCAAGAGTATGAAAGCCGAGACAGCAGTCCTCGGTGAAGAGGAACAAGCTCGCTATTTCTTTGCTCAGCTTCAAAAGATACGAACACCCAAAGGAGAAGCGGAAGGGGAGACCTAAGACACACGACAATAATATAATGCCGATGGAAACCACAAACTCGAGGACAGCACCGTGCTGTTGATTTTGGAATAGGATCAAGTCTTTTTGGCTGTTAGCGCAAGAGAAAAGTTTAAGAGAGGACGTGGTGGTACTTAACCACAGGCGCGGCTCGACTCAATTCTGATGCTATAGGTGCTGGTGCCACAATAAATTGTGAATGTCTTCCCTCCAAAAAACTTGGACCAGGAAGCAATGCAACATCGTCTCTGACTGTCAGTGGAGCTGCAATTGTTCGTTTTGTACACCTTTAGCTAGAAGACTACGCTTAGTTAGAGTGAACCTGACACTTGGCTACATGGATGCGAGGCGGAGCAATGAAAAGCAGCACGGGTGCATGAGTAGGCACGCCTAGCTACTTGAAGCCTGCACCTGTTCGCGGGGGTACATCCATTGACCCGAGGGCTCTTGCATTGTGGATACATACATATTCATCTCCTTTGACGGCTACAGCATGGTGCGAATACCCTACCGGTATCGGCGTTCTGTTTGATTGGCGCTAACTTGAAACATGCTTTCAAAATGGTAGTGTTATGTTTGTTAGGTATATCATTGATAGACTTGTTTTCCTCTGCAATTTCCAAGCTCGCTGAAACACAGAATCAATGGGCCTGAGCTTTATAAGCCGCACATGTAGGTAGCTAGCTCCTCACCAATCTTGTGCCAAAATGTTGTTGCAGAAGCGGAAAAACAAAATGACGTGTGGAACATCCGCTCTCGTTCCAATCAACGGGGAATATGGGGAATAATGCTGCTCTCATTCATCCTGTTTTAAAGCCATCCACTTCAACCCCTCCTCTTCCTCCAAAGATGAGCTTGTTGGACCCTAGATCCACGAGACAGTTGAAGCGACGCAGCTGGTCGATGCCAAGAATCATCAAATCATCGGGCGTTTCCAAGACAGAAAAATATAGCAAGAACTCTGCATGTCCTATCTGAACCGGGCACCGTTCAATTCTGCCAAGGATCTGGGCGGAGCCAACGCCGGTAGCTACACCTTGGTGTCGAGTGTTCAGAAACCGTGCAAGCCCCAGCTTATGCATGAGACCAGACGAGAGGACCGAGGTTTGAGCTCCAGTATCCACCATCATCTCCACAAGTCGATGGTTGATTTCGCAAGGCACATGGAGCAGGTGCTTGTTGTTGTTTTCTTCGGAAGACCCATCGCTCAAGACGGGTTCTAGCGAAGGGATGCGATCCAACTGTGGCATAGGACGCGACCGCCGAACGTCCGATGTAGAGCTTCGACGCCGACTCTCACGAGGACGGATTGTGATTTCTCGTGGCACCGAAGCACTACCAGATCCTTGAGAACTATCTGGGGCCACGCGACCGTCCTTTCCTCCAAAGAAAGCTCGACGACCTGTCGTTACAGATCGTTTGAACATCTTGCAGAGCTCATACTCGGCAAACTCTGTATCCGCTACAAGCGCCAAGGCTTGAGCAAGAGCTGCATCTTCTTTGCAGTTATCTGTTCCTCGAGCGCTGCTAGTTGCCATGATTCTTTGGTTTTGTTGGCTTGTTGGTTTATCAACTTGCATTAATGGCACCCTGATGTTGTCGTTTTGCAGGGAGCAATGCTGATCTTGTGGCTGTCCAACGGCCGTTGGGTGGTGTGGGAAACGATTTTTGCTTCCTCCCTTTTTTCTCGGAAATTGATTCGATTCCCGCGTCGGAAACCCCAAACCCTGATGAACCACAGAGGCACTCGGAGCTTGAGGGAGGTGCCGAATTCACAGCCAAGTTTACAACGCGGTCAGGGAAACGGAAGAAAGATAGAAGCACTCTTGGTAGTGACGAGGGCGACGAGCATGCTATCTCTAAACGTAACTCTGGGTGCTGGTGCCTAACCAGAATGAGAAGATAAAAGCAACACATCTATCTATAGTCCCGTAAAGGTCTATCGAATGTTGCCATTTGTTATGAATCCTTATCGTTTCTGTGATCTCCGTGACACCATTATTTAGGCAAGATAGTCAGGGTCAAAAGCGTGCGCAAAGAGGAAACACCTACAGTAGTTTGGATTCCACTCCATGCGCAACCTCCATTGAATTTGTTATGCCAACCTGGTACGGTATATTGTTGAGTTGCTTTCCTATTCTAATAAGTTGAATGGAAGAAGCAAAATCTGGGTTGATTGATTGAGGTGCTTGCTATGAAATGGAGCACTGTTCTCTGGCATTGGCATGATTTTGATCCGGAGGAAGAAATGGGACTTCGACTCCTCCTTGCCCGCCAAAAATGAGTACATTCTTTTCCAGGTCAATCATGCATTTGAACTGGAAGATAGATAACAGGAACAAGCGCTATGGATGTGAGCTGCCTTGCTGATGCCAAAGTGATACAAATGGACACACCGTTAGCTATTCCTTTACTTACCCGTCTCATTTGATCAATACCCAAAATCATCATGTCATGTGGGACATCAATCACCAGGAAGAAGAGGTTGAATTCAACGCCGGCTCCGATTTGGACAGGACAATTTTCTATCCTTCCTAGAATTCTGGCCGCCCCCACACCCGCAGCCACTCCTTGAAAGCGTGTATTGAGTCTTTTTTGCAATTTGAGTTTTCGCATCATGGATGACGACAGGACGGATGTCTGACTCCCAGAGTCTACCATCATTTCCACCATTCGATGGTTGACTTCACAGGGTACATATAGCAGACTTCCATTGGACTCCATCGAAGAAGATCCATCGTCCAGTAAGGAGTGATTGCGGTTCCGAGTGTTGCTGCTAAACATGTTTCCCAGACTAGCCAAGGGATTGGCAGCAGCTGCTCCGGCAGAAAACGATGTTCCGCCACCGAGAATGCTGGAGTTGGCCGCCACTTCGTTTGTGGATTGAGCCAAGTGCTGTTGGATGGCTCCTTCCTGCTCTTGTTGGGCTTGTAGCTCGTATGCTAATTGCATGTCTGCCGCCATTTGGGCCGATCGGGCCATAGCTTCATCCTCATGGTCGCTCATGCTAGAACTGGTGGTTGGTCGGTATAATTATTGTTCTTCTCTTCTTCAGTCAGCTAGCTAATTGTGGGTCTAATCTTCTCTCTCTTTCTCTTCGAATCTATGGGATTGTGGATAATTGTTCTTGTCTTTCCTCTATTCTATGGGAGTGGGAACCGGCACGATGGTGCTGCTTGGAGGTTGGTTGTTTCCTTCTCGCTCTCTTGGGTGCACGATTTCCGTTTTGTGAGGTTTTGGCGGTGGAACGACCACTTCAACAAGCCTCACGTTGTTTTGATTTGATCGGGACTTGAAATACGACTCGACTGAACACAAGTGCCAAAGCGCTGGGCACCACAAAATAGGCAGTGGCCGGGAGGACGCCATGGCCACCCCGTCACACCCCCCTACCGGTATCATCTGCGTTGACTTTGATAGAGTCTGGGCAATAATCAAAGGAGTGTTATCAACTAGAACCATTGAGGCTGCCAACAGCAATAGTACTGCCATGGGAAAGAAAATCACCCTCAAAGTCGGTGGAAAACGGGAAGTGATAAAAAAGGAAGAAGCTCAACAAGTTCTCGAACGATTCCAAAAGGAGAGTGAAGGAGATGTCGTTGTCGCCGAGATTGACTTGTCCTGTCGTCAATGGACTGTCGAGGCCATTGATGTCTTGCGTCCCTTCTTGGAAAAGTTGGCTCCGAATGTCGTTGTCTTGAATTTAAATGACATTATTGCCGGGTTACAGACCGATTTGGGGCTGGAAATCATGGAGCTCATGGCCCAGATCTTTGTCATGGCCAAAAATGTTGAGGAGATTCAGCTTTCCGACAATGCCATGGGCCCCAGAGCTTTGAAACGAATCGCTCCCTTGTTAGGAGTGGCCAAATTGCAGCGGCTCGAGTTTAATAACTGTGGATTGAGTGCCGAAACCATTCCTCAACTAGATGAAGCTCTCAAAGAGAATGCTACTGGACCGGGAGTGGCACGGCTCACTCACCTCGACTTGGACCGAAATATGATTGGCGTGGAAGGAGCCAGACAAACGGGGGAGCTACTCAAGGATTGCGTCAAAATGAAGCGCTTCGCATACCGTGGATGCCGTCCAACCTATAATGGATCCAAGTTTCTGGCCAAGGCCATTCAACAAATGACACAAAATACCGACGTCTTGGAGGAATTGCACATTCGGGACTGTGATCTCATACGAAATGAAGATGAAATGGTCGCATTGACAGATTTGGCAGACGCCATTACAAGATGCCCCAACTTGAAGGTACTCAACACGAGTGATTGTGGTGACTTTGGCGAAACGGGGGCTGGAGCGCTGGCTACGGCTATCATCGAGTCCAAATGCAAGCTAGAGTCCCTCGATCTGAGTAAGTGCGAAAGCCTAGTAAAAGTGTACCCATCCTTTGTGGTTCTTTGATCCATTCTCACGTGCCTGGTTGTGTGTCCTAGGTGGGTGCATTGTGACACCTGAAGGCGGAGAAGCCATGCAGGAAATGCTGCAACAACAGGCTGCCTCCTTGAAAGAACTCAAGCTAGAAACCAACGAGCTAGGAAGTGATGGAGTGGAATGCATCTTAAAATGCTTTGCCGATATCGACAATCCCCCGTTGCAACATTTGCGGCTGGATGAAAACGAGCTCGATGAGGCCGCTATTACGGCATTGCTCGATGCCACCTTTCCCAATCTGCGACGATTGACTCTCAAGGATAATATGGACTTGGACGAATTGGACGACGACAAAAAGGCAGAGTTGCGAGCTCACTTTTCGAAAGCCAGGATCTACTTTGATGAAGAGGTGGACGGAAAAGAAGAGGATCACGAAGATGCACCCGATGCTGCAGTGGACGCCCTTACGGCGCAAATGGCAAACGCAGGAATCTAGAAATAAGAATACGAAGCCATGGGACGGGAGCACACCACCGATTCCGTGGGAGCCCCAAGCTAGTCAACAATTTGAAAAAGATACATCACTGCCCAGCCCATCGCACAAGATTGCCAAATGTGGAGCCAGATAGAGAGTAGACAGTAGCTTAGCTGCTAAAAGACTTTTAGGACTAATGATATTAGCTTAAAGCTACGTTTTAGAGAGTTTGTCGTTCAGGGTTCGCCTGCATCCTTTCGGTCGGGGTACTAGTATCGGTAACATGCGTGGTCGCCGAGACGGGGCCCATGGTGGAAGCGAAGTCCATCACGGCATGTTCCCGTCAATGCTTTTAAAAGATTAGATGGGTCAGTCACGGCCTTCTCGTTGTTGGACTTTCTTCTAAATTAATTCTATCAAATGCAGCAACAGCACCTCACGACGATCTCACTCTCATCTCTCATCCACAGCCTCCAGACACAAACCGAAAAATCAATTCAATTCGTCTGAACGTCTGAACCGGTCCTGTACAAGAAATCTTCATCATAAATCTCTACGGCACTCATAGAGTATACGGAGGGATCCTCAATCGCGATTCATCGCTAACTGCAAACTGGACAGATCTTTTTCAGAAACCACAAAATACTAGTAGTTACTCCATAATAGTTAAGTCTGTCCTCCGTAGGGATACACATTAGACGGGCTTGTGCTTGGTTTCATCTAGCTGGTCTAATTTGGATTTTGACTGGGGTCATCGGTTTGACTTTCGTTCTATTGGAAGTTTACTATAGGACCAAACAGTACACCCAATGTGGCTGTCAATCGAAAAAGGCCAAAGCGAAGACTGCACAGATGCCTCCAACGCAGACGGTCCGATGATCTAGTGAGCGGGCCGGTCGAGCCAAAACGTATTCTGGCAACCGGTACTGGCAAAGAAAAGAAACCGGTACAAAGAAAAAGAAGCCTTCGCCAGAGGGACGTGACCCTCACTTGCTCACAAAAATGAGGTGAGGCGCGCACCCCTTTTACGGCAACAGCTGCACTGAGTAACACTTGTCGCCTTCGAGTGCAGCGAGATCACTCCCCACAAAACAACAACGGCTAAGACGATGGTTAAGAAGAACTATAAGAAGGACGCCCCTGTAGAAGTCGTTCGCGGCAAGTACAAGGGAATGGAAGGTATGTTTGCTGGAAAGGCAGGAACCATGAACAGGGTCTGCAGAGTCGTTTTGAGTAGCGGCAAAAAGGTGACTCTGTGGTACGGTTCGATCTCTCCTTTGATGGATCCTGCCGAAAGGATTCGTCGCTTGGAACAGCACATAGCATTGCTCAATGCAAATGTGCGACTTCTATTCAACCACATGCAATACACGGCTCTTAGCCTTATTCGCGACTCAATCCTAGATAGGGTTTGAGTTCGACTCACGACTGAGTCTCTCGTGAATAGTCATGTGAGACAGGGTTCTCAATGACCGCGCTAGTCATACTAGGTTGATGATGAAACATCGCTCTAGATATTTAGCCAGCGTGGAGTACTTCCACGCTACTAGATCCAGGCTAGACAAACCTTCCACGCGTTCCGTTTTGGATCGTGGAGAGACGTAGGATTACTACCACAACCTACTCTATCACACTTTATAGTCTCCCGCGGGAAGCCAGATCTACGATCCTTGATGATGATCTCTCTCGTTACTAGATCCAGGCTAGACAAACCTCCACGCGTTCCGTTTTGGGATCGTGGAGAGACGTAGGATTACTACCACAAGCTACTCTATTCCACTTTATAGTCTCCGCGGGAAGCCGATCTACGATCCCTTAATGATGATCTCTCTCGTTGATTAGTTTCATAGCTTTCTAATCTCTCTCATAATTTTCATTCTCTCAAACTCAAAACACTCGAAAGATCTTTAGCTTTTAGCGTAGTGCATTTTGTTAACAACACACAATAGCTTTCACCTACCCTCAACCTATTCCTTCACCATGAAGATGGCTCAAGGAAAGCATGCGTTCCGCAACTTCGAGAAACAGTTGGCGTGACAAACCCATTCTTCCTCTCGTCGACAATGACGAAGAAAACGAGATCGACAATACTCGTGCACCACTTGCAAACTTCGCAACCATGTTGCCAAGCGCAAATCAGAAGATTCTGACAATGAGGACAACTCCTCTATCATTTCAATCACTTGGATGGAGAATCTCTATCTGAGGATTAGGCCAGGATGATGATTCAACGGAACCATGTTCATTTCTCATACCAAAGTGATGAAGATGTCTCACTAACTAGTAAACAAGAATTGTTTGAACTGATGAACTCTACGCAAATTAGTTGATTGCCTAGAAGCTGCTCAACAGACTCTGAGATCTATTAGCATCGTAACCTCGTCCGTGGCCAACCACCTCGTAAACGTCGCAAGCAAAGAGACCTCAAACCCATCGTCTATGTTAGATTTAACAAGCGAAAAAAAGGAAACCAAAACCGTTACACTCCGTTGTTACTGGATAAGGAGCATCCGAACCTTGATTGCTCAACCCATGCTAAGAAATTACGCATGAAGGATCTTGGGGGCGTCCAAACGATGTGGACTACCCCTGCAGAGAATTAAACACAGCACGAAGGTGCAAAGGTGCATTTATGATTCTGAATTCCACGAGATAGAATTATGAGTGGGATTTACACGTCCCCAAGAGCTTGGGGGCGTATAACATGATCATAGGTCGAGATATCTCTCTGACTTAGGTTTCAAGTTCGATTTCACTACCATGTCAGTGGAATGGGACGGCGATCTATTCCTATGAAAGAAGCGACACCATTGAAGAAGAAAACTTTTTCATTCCTGATCCATACGCTGTTGATGACATGCAGATGTCTCAAGAAGATCTTGATGCGAAATACGAACAAGCTGATTAAGCAGGTTTGCCAAATCAAGATCATTAAACACGGAAGAGAAGAAACAGCTTCATTCCTTACTGACGAAGTACTCTGACCTATTCGTGGTACTTTAGGAAAGTGGCAGATGAACTACTACGAAGTAGAACTTCTCCTGAGCTAAACCCTATCATGCAAGGCTTATCCTATTCCACGGGTTCATACAACACTCTTAAATGGAGGTTGAACGTCTCTGCGAGGCAGGAGTACTCAAGAAGTAAACCGTTCCGAGTGGGCGGCACCAACTTTCATCATTCCCAAGAAGGATGGATCTGTACGATTCATCTCTGACTTCCGGAACTGAACAAAAGATTAAGTGGAAGCCTTATCCTATCCCAAAATCAGGACATGCTCTTGAACCTAGACGGATTCAAGTACGCTACTAGTCTAGACCTGAACATGGGATACTATCACATCGAGCTGTCACCTCACTCGAAGCAACTCTGTACCATCGTACTCCCGTGGGGAAAGTATGAGTACCAGAGGTTGCCAATGGGCCTATGTAATAGTCCCGACATCTTCCAAGAGAAGATGGGAACACTAATGCACGACCTAGAATACGTCCGTGCATACATTGATGATCTACTCATCCTAACTAACGGCGATCTAGCAGATCACGTTGAAAAGTTGGATGAAGTTCTCCGAAGGCTTCGAGAAGCCGGACTTAAGATCAATGCTACCAAGTCCTTCTTCGCAAGGGAGAACTTGAGTACCTATTGGTTACTGGATAACTCGAGAAGGGATCCAACCTATAACCAAGAAAATAGAGACGCGATCAAGAATATCGCTCCTCCTACCAACAGAAGGAACTCCGTAGATTCATTGGACTAGTGAACTACTACGAGACATGTGATTAGACGATCACATGTACTGCCCCCACTCGCTTCGTTGACTTCCAAAACAACGAGGTGGAAATGGGAAGCGGAACACGACAAGGCCTTTAGCCAGATGAAAAGTTCATCAGCAAAGAAACCTTGCTCGCCTACCTGACTTCAACGATACATTCGTATCCACACGGATGCGAGTGATACTCAACTTGGTGC